CTGCAGGAAAGTGGATCTCGTGGGCCAGATTTGTGGATCCCTGCCTTATAGCAAGCCGTTTAGTACAGCAAGGAGTATTTAATGCTAAAACGGCTTGCCATAATATCTGCCAGAACACCTGAGTATCAGGAGGGACTACGTGATGGCATGAAGACGTCATGACGTAAAGGAACCTCTGAATCGTTCATTCGGTTCATAGAACCGAACTGTTTGAAAGAACCGATTCGCGAGAATGACTCCTTGCCTGGATGGACACGCATGCGTGAATCAGCAACAATGCTTGACTTACTGTAAACTCCTTTTAGTCGTATATAAGAATATTTTGAGATAGTTTAGTTATGCCATATGTGACATTTTAATAAGGGTATTGCATCAATTACTAAAACGCTTTGGATTTATAGACATTTCAATCCAACATAACTATTAGTGCAGTCTTCACATAATCACGAGCTTGCTATTTATACAGACGTGTCAGATTATTCGCGAGCCACGACTCGAGCTCTTTTTGAACTTTTAGAAGGAGTTCGCAATCGTGCAGATAACGCAGGCAGGCGTTATAATGTAAAGGGCGGGCCATATATGTCTATGGGGGCGGGCCCCTTTAATAGATGCTGCCCAATCAGAACGGAGAGCGCTGAGCGGAAATCAACGTCGTTCGAAAGCGGTGTGTTGCGTGAGCTACACATTTTATTTCCTTAATCTGTTTTGCTCCAGTTTTCTATTGCAGATTTCCAACGTTTAGATTTGGTATATTTTGAAAGTAAAAAAAACAGACTGTTTAAAAGAGGAACGCGACTTGTTAAGGTAAGTAAGATGCTTTTCACGTGCATCTGCCCCTTTAATAGATGCTGCCCAATCAGAACGGAGAGCGCTGAGCGGAAATCAACGTCGTTCGAAAGCGGTGTGTTGCGTGAGCTACACATTTTATTTCCTTAATCTGTTTTGCTCCAGTTTTCTATTGCAGATTTCCAACGTTTAGATTTGGTATATTTTGAAAGTTAAAAAAAAACAGACTGTTTAAAAGAGGAACGCGACTTGTTAAGGTAAGTAAGATGCTTTTCACGTGCATCTCTTTTTTCAGTTTATGGCAGGACATCTGTGATCACATTAACGAGGGTGTTGTCCTTGTGCTATTTCAGAAGTATATGAAACTGCTCAGGTTTATTATGATTACATATAGTATGCTGTTCATAAAACACCTTTGTGCAGTATTAAAGGTGAGCTTTCCTTTGTACAAAGCTGCTGCCAGTATTCTGTTATGTTATGATGAGTACAGTGATGCTACACACATTTCTGGAAATCTCCAACTAGATCTTTCAGGTGTTCCAAAACATTTGAAATGTATTTTCAGATGGGGTATATGGTCGTAGAGAAACACACATCTGATCTTCTCCATCTGAAGAGGTCTCCTGGGATTAGATCATGGTCCCTCCTTATTGGTATGAGCTCATTTGTAAAGAGAGAATTTGGTGACTAGAAGTGTGTAGTCTACCATGTGCAACATAAAATATCTTTTAACGTCTTCCTACTTCCTCTTTTTACAGGAATTGCTTCAGTTGGTCTAGCAGCAGCCTATTACAGTGCTGGTGAGCAATGTTTCCTGAATGTCTAATAACCCTGGAATTGAATAAAACAATACAAGGAAGTCTTTTTGTGATCTGTGTTGCTCACTTTGCTTTGTTCTTTTGTTGTAGACAGCATATTATGGAAGATGTTCTATGTGACTGGCTGTTTTTTTGTGGCTCTACAGAATATGGAGGAATGGGAGGTGGGAGACGTTTTACACACGCTACATCTGTAGTGGATGTACTCCGCTGTCCTAACAGTCTGTCTTGCTTTGTCTTTAGGAGGCAGTGTTTGATAAATCTAAGAACGAGATCGAATTAAAGACGCTTAGTCTCTATGCCATGATATTGACTATGTGGAAAAGAGGACATGAGAGAGGTGAGTTTTGTGTTATAAGTTGCTATTTATTTTGCACTATATGACTGCTGAAGTTAAATGTTGTGTTCTCTGGCTCAGTGGTGTTGGATCTGCGACACCTGCGGGACGTGAGTGTTCAGGAGGAGAGGGTGAGGTATTTGGGGAAGGGTTACCTGTTGGTGCTGCGTCTAGCGACAGGTTTCTCTCACCCTCTTACACAAAGTGCCACGCTGGGCTCACGCAGGTACTTAAAGCTCCGTTTGCAGTCCTGTGATTGTGTAAAAAAAAAAAAAAATATATATATATATATATATATTAGTGCTGTCAAATGATTAAGCGCAATTAATCGCATCCTAAATGTTGTTTTTGTTTACATAATATATGTGTGTGCTGTGTATATTTATTATATATATATATATATATATGTATGTATGTATGTGACTCTGGACCACAAAAGCAGTCATAAGTAGAACGGGTATATTTGTAGCAATAGCCAACAATGCATTGAACGGTCAAAACTATTGCTTTTTCTTTTATGCCAAAAATCATTGGGATATTAGGTAAAGATCATGTTCCATGAAGATATTTTGTAAATATATCAAAACTTAATTTTTGATTAATAATATGCATTGCTAAGGACTTCATTTGCACAAATTTAAAGGCAATTTTCTCAATATTTAGATTTTTTTGCACCCTCAGATTCCAGATATTCAAATAGTTGTATCTCTGCCAAATATTATCCTATCCTAACAAACCATACATCAATGGAAAGCATTTATTTATTCGGCTTTCAGATGATGTATAAATCTCAATTTTAAAAAAATTGACCCTTATGACTGGTTTTGTGTTCTAGGGTCACATATAAGTACACACGTGCATGTATATATTTAAGAAAAATATGTTATGTTTATATATTAAATATATTTATATGAATATAAATTTATGCATGTAAATACATGTAAATAGTTTAAAAAGAAACTATAATAAACACACATATTGTGTAAACAAAAACGTGTTTTGGATGAGATTTTATATATATATACACACTGCCATTCAAAAGTTTGGGATCCGTAAGATTTTGAGTCTCTTCTGCTCATCAAGACTATTTATTTGATCAAAAATACAGAAAAAAACTGTAATATTGTGATATATTATTTCAATTTCAAATATTGGTTTTCTGTTTTAATATACTTTAAAATATAATACATTTCTGTGATCAAAGCTGAATTTTCAGCATCATTTCTCGAGTCTTCAGTGTCACATGATTCTTCAGAAATCATTCTAATATGCTGATTTATTATCAATGTTGGAAACAGTTGTGCTGCTTCGTTTTTTTTTTTTTTTTTGGAAACTGATACTTTTCCTGGATTCTTTTATGAATAAAAAGTTAAAAAGAACAGCATTTATTTAAAATTAAAATCATTTCTAATATGAGTTTTTACTTTTTATCCATTTAACACATCCTTGCTGAATAAAAGCATTCATTACCTTCAAAAAAAGAAAGAAAAAAAATGTACTGACTCCAAACTTTTGAACGGTAGTGTATATTGTAACACAATATTTCCATTTTGAATAAATGTATATATATTCATAAAAGAATCCTGAAAAAAGTATCACAGTTGATAATAATTCAGCATATTAGAATGATTTCTGAAGAATCATGCGACACTGAAGACTGGAGTAATGATGCTGAAAATTTAGTTTTGCATCACAGGAATAAATTACATTTTAAAGTATATTAAAATAGAAACTGTTTTTTTAAATTGCAATAATGTCACAAAATAACAGTTTTTTTTCTGTATTTTTGATCAAATAAATACAGCCTTGATGAGCACAAGAAACTTTGGTAAAAAATATTTAAAAATCTTACTGATCCCAAACTTTTGAACGGTTGTGTGTGTGTATATATATATATAGATATAGTGTTTTAATATATGAATTTTTTTTGTGCAAACCATTCAATTGTTTGGGGTACGTAAGATTTATAACACAACAATTTCTAGTTCAAATAAATGCTGTTCTTTTGAAATTTTCCATTCAAAGAATCCTGAAAAGAGGTCCACATAAATATTAAGCAGCAAAGATATTTCTCAACATTGATAATATTAATAAGAACCGTTATTAAAAATTTATCACTAAATCCATATATTACAATGATTTAAAATGAAGACTGGAGGATTGACTGCTGAATAAATAACCATTTAAAATATATTAAAATAGATCATATTTATATATTTTAAATTGTAACGATAAATAGCAATATAACAAATATATTTTTTATTTAAAAAACAACCCTTTTTTTGTAATAAAATAAGCACTTTTCAAGGTACTCAAAGAAGCTTTACAAGAAATAAAAACAGTAAAAGAAGTATAACAAAAGCAATCTAATAAATTAATCACACAAGTATTTTTACGCCATTCATTTATTTTGCAATGTGACATTATTTGCTTGACAGTTAAGCATATTATTACCATTTTTCTTACGTTCAGTGATGTGGAGGCACTTGCTGCACTTCTGAAGCGCTTCTTGGGTCTTGAAGAGTTACAGCGACGTTTGGCAGTAGAAGATTATCCTGATGATGACGATATTGAAGATCTGGGATTGGGCGATAGCAGTGATTCAAAAGATGAAGATGAACATTAAAAAACCTCAGGGATAGATGGAAAATGGTGGAAGACACTAGGCCTGTCACGATAACTTTTTGTTGTGCGATATATTGCCCCAGAGATAATTGCGATAATCGATATTATTGTCATTTTAAAGACCATTTTATGCCACTGAATATATAATCATAATGTAACAGCACAATAATGCAAGATGGCCTGCACACTTCCAAATGACAACAAACGTTAAATTTTTAAGAATACTTAGATCAAAGAAATTATCAAAATATTAGATACCTTAAAAAACCTGAATAAATAGAAAATAAACATTTTCTAACAAAAAGTGCAAAGTAACAAGTAGAAAAAAAGAAAAATGCACAAAGAACTTGTATGGAGATTTTTCCATCTACAGATTTTTCCCGGACCTTCTTTTCTCTGTAAATTAAGGGTGCACACTATTGCTGAAAAATCAAATCAACAATCACTACTTAGCAGTCAGATATCCGTATGCACAAAGGCACAGATCCCTAAACAATACCATATCTTCAGATGCAACTTTGTTTGTAGAAGCATTTTTTAAATTTGAACTAGCACCTCATGACCACGTTATGTACGAGAAGCTGCAAAAGACACGGGTGCAAGTGGAATGTACAAATCACGGTGACATACATTTTTAAGTAAAATAATTATTGAGGTCATGTACATATATTGCACGATAAGTCGATATATTATTGCGACAGGCCTGGAAGACACCGTATCAAGCCTTACATGAAACAACCAAACATTCCTGTCTTACAAACATCCCGATGACAATCTCAAAGCATTCTCTCTTATTGCTGCATTGCATCTTCAAAGAGGCATTACCAGATCACATTCAGTACTTCTGCAAGATTTCTCTGTATGCTTTGCTACGTGCGTAAATAATTCGACAAGTTTGTGAAATCCCTTTCTTTGGTCATGTGCTCTGATCCTCTATGCATGCCCACTCAGATCACACTGTGCCTTTATACACCGCATGAGTGCAACTGCAAAACTGATGCGTGAAAATTGACTTAGTGGTTTGTGATTTTAATTTTCTTTTTGTAAATATTATTTTGGATTCTAAAGCTCGGGGTTTTTTTTTTTACTTTGAGACTCTGAAGCAAGAAAAATAATATTAAACAGCAGCTGCTTAAAAAAGTGGATCGTTGCAAAACTGATGGGTGAAAATGGATTTATGGGATACCCTTAGTGGTTTGTGATTTTAATTTTCTTTTTGTAAATATTATTTTTGGATTCTAAAGCTCGGGGTTTTTTTTTTTTTTACTTTATGAGACTCTGAAGCAAGAAAAATAATATTAAACAGCAGCTGCTTAAAAAAGTGGATCGTTTTTTTTTTAATTGATGTGGCCACTTTTTATTAATTAAGGAGTATACTTTGTTACACTTGTTTATAATAAAATTATTTGATAACTTACACTGATCAACAAACTGGATTATCATAATTTTTAGTTTATCTTGGTTGCGTAATCATTAAATCTGTAGAACCAGAACATCTAATATGGCTGGAGAATAACAAACTAGTAGACTCTGGATGTGTATGTTAGCAATAGCTTTTTATTTGGACTAGTACAATAAATACTGGAAAAATTACACAAGAAAAAAACATTTCAATAATAGAAAAATTAACTTTCTAGCTTTGCTCTAAACATCGAAAGAAATCACAATTCGTCACTGACTTAAACAATTAGTCTCAAATGTGTAGTGATTTGCTTTCAAACTGAAGATTTTCCTCTGTTGTGACAGAAAGAGAAAGTCCATAATCACGTCACTGCCATGAAAACGTTCATACATCCTACACCAAATAACACTTCATTCTGACTAAAATAGGATGTGATTTGCACTATGAACTGAGCTTGTGTGTAATGTGGACCTGGCCACAAGAATTTACTACAACTAACATCTGAAGTATTAAAGCAGTCAATCAATTACAGAGCATTTTGGGAGAACATATACATCTGAGAGACACCTGGAATAAGGAATGTTGGTACTATCCTCAAAAAGCGGATTAGAAACGTCAATACAATATTAATACTCCAGTTATTGGTCTACAGTTAAGCAGCGAAGCATCATTACAGTACGAGC